GAATTCATTAAATACTGTTTTATTTGCACAGTTGTTGCTTGTTTTATACTCATTACGATTACTTATTATGATAATAATAATGCTAATCATGTTATTAAATGTGCATCTACGAATTCCCCTGATGCTGTTGTGGAGGTGGGTACGTAGGCCGTTGCCAAAGTATACTCTCCACACCGATATGAGATCACATTCCAGCAAGGAAGATTGTGAGAAGCTTTGTTGTAGGACACTTGATTGAATTCTATCACTCAAATTACCCTCATCATGATTTTAATTAGTGAATTGTAATAAAATGTCTTTGATTATAATCCACAGTTCAAGATGGGTGTACTAATTCATCATAGATGTAGTAATGGACTTAACACTAATTGACTATAGTGACTTAGGGATTAACTTGTCATCAGGGGGTAATGTCGTTGACTTAGAATATGCAGATGATATAATCCTCCTAGGTGAAGACGCTGACGAAATGCAGAATCTTCTGAACATCTGGAGGAGCAGCAGTCTTCAAATGTTTGGAATGTGATTCGCTCCTGTCAAATTCAAGTAAAGTGATGCTACAGGACTGAACTGGAACACACCGACTGCTGGCTTAAAGACAGCGGAGTGAACTGGTTGGTGGAGCGTGTTGACCACTTCATTTATTTAAGAAGTTACATCAGTCAGCCCCAATGAGTTGATCGCTGACAAAATCTCTGCACAGACACACAAAGCTCGTTTGGCATTTGCCGACTTACACCATCTCTAACTGAGTAGACATGATATCTGGCTGGCTGGCTGACTGGCTATCGACCAAAGGGCATGTGTACTGCTCAGCGACAGTTCGCTCCATCCTACTCCTTTATGGCTGTGAGCGAGACATGGCCATTGAAAGTGGAAGACATGAAAAGATCATAGGTGTCTGCATTCTATCTTTCGTGTTAAGTAGTGGTATAATAGGGTGAGCAATATTGAGGTTAGGTATCGGTTGAATGCTGGGTAAGCAGAAGAAATCAGTCGACGAGGTCGTGAAGCAGTTGCATCGATTGAGGTGGTTAGTACATGTGTTACGCATTCATCCTTAGCCATTGCCTTCCTCGACCGATGGCCATTGTTAGCTGACATAGGATGGATCAGGTTGAAAAATAGCTAGCTGATGGTGGTCGAACCAAAAGATGGGTTCATCAGTCAATGAAATCCACAACAGTTAGTTTAAGCCGGCCAGCCAGCCACGTCAGGAGGTGTAGACTTTCTGACCAAATGGTTGGGGTCCTCAGGACGGTAAGAACTAATGGCTGGAGATTTATCGTATCCAGTAAAATTCTATTGTTCTTCCATATTACTATTCTTTTTGCCTCACTCACACTTCCGTTAACTATATCTCTTTTGAATCTCTCTTTACTCTCTTCTCTTGTTTTGTGTGCCACATGGAGTGTGGCGACTCGAACTGCTGAAGATCTGAGCGAAGTTCTACATTGAAACCAGTCAGACAGACAGACAGACAGACAGACAGACAGTTCAATATCAAGTGATACAACAACGAATGTCAAGTATAAAAATAATTCATAGAATGTATAACCCTTAGAAAGGCATGTAAAATTATAAAAGGATTAGTATGCCAGTGAAAACATTGGTGAAAAGTATTTGATAAGATAAATTTTAACATTGTACAAAAAATAGATTAATTCAAAATAATACTGATAACAAATTAAATGTGTGACAAGTGAAATAATAGCCGAAACTGTGAGAAACGAAAAACACAAAAATAATAACAGTCGTAATAATTAACAAGGATAGGTACAAAGATTAGACAAACAAAATGAAAAATAAATAATTGTTTATAACTCCATTCGGTTCAATGGTCATGATAGAAGTGGGGGGGTGGCTGCACATACTGCTTTTGTACACAAAAGTTTGATTTGAATTCACGAATAGCCCAAAGGCCTTCACCACACTGCTTTTGCAAATTTGAAAAGAAGAAAATACAACAAGCTGACACGAAGTCAATATACGATGTTAGAGTCGATGATCAAGGTTGGCTGAAAGACCAAGAGACCTAGAATAGAAGTTTTGCACAACCTATCTTGCAAGAACCATGCTGAAATGTGTTCTGGCATTCGTATGCAAAAGCATCCCCGGGCTACGGTAGACATATATCTTGCTCCACAAGAGCTGGTCAGCTGATAGGTGCGCATTTTAATCACGTTTCACCTAATTATTATTATAAGTATTGATGATAAGTTCGTATCAAGTTTGGTCATACACTGATATCAGTTAGAGTGTAACAACAGAAGACAAGGGCCAGGCAACAGATCGTTTATTAAGGAAAATCAACACATATTTATAGATTTTAATGTACATTATTGTAGATTATTGTTAGTAGAAAATACAGTCTTTTGACTGGTTGTTTCTCAGAGAAAATTAACCTTGCATCTCTTTGTGGCTGTGTCAGATCATCCATATGCTAACTGTATCCGCCTACGCAAAGCCTTTGTTCTGATTTTCTCACCACCAATATTGGGGACATAAACATTAATGTCAATTACTGTCAACCAACTTTGGCTAGCAGCCAGCTCTCACCACAAGAGAACCAGTGAAAACCAGTAAGGAGTACCGGATAGCTGTTCTGTCCTAGTAGTTGAGACTCTCCACCAGTGTGCACCCATGACCCCACCAGTCACTGAGACAGAATCTAATGACCTAGCAATGCTAACTTCTGTCCATTCGAGGTATATATAGCACAACTGCCGACCAGTATCATAGGTATTTGTCCCCACGCCCAATATAGTTGACTCTGCTGGTTACGACTTCCTCAGTAGAACTTTGGACAACTTTATTTTGCAGTCAGTTACACTAGATAGGGCTAGATTGAAGTCGGTCATATCCCTAAAAACGAACGCTTGGTAAACACTAATGGGAATAATCAACAAGCCAGCTTCGTAACATGTAGCTCCTGGGTTCGGTCGCTGGTAGATGCGATCATGGAGGGGGGGGGGGTGGGGGCGTACTGTTGGGAGATAGCCTCAAATTAAGACGAGTCAGGTGTTCAGTACTCACTCTCTTGTTTTCAATGATCAAACCTGTCACCAATGAAATCCCTTCAAAGCAACATTTGATAATTAATCTGATGCTCATTAGGGACTGGTTCTTTGCAAGGAGGTTAACTGGAGTGCTAATAAGAAGAGTTATGACCAGTAGGGTCCATCAAGTCAGATAAGAGAACTCTTACTCTTTGGATTGCTGATATTATTAGATAGTTAGAGGCAATCGGCAGAAAACTTTGGACCCAGGTTTCGTGCTAGCTGACACTGACAGAATTCAGTCTGCACCAAACAAAGGACTACACACACACACACTACACTAGTCACTGACCAATTTTCAATCAAAGAGCAGTTACTCGCCTGTGACAATGGCTGGTCTCTGTCTGTCTGGATTCAACATAGAACTTGGCACCGAAGTGCAGCAGTTCGAGTTGCCACGTTCCAAATAGCACACAAAGGTAGACAAGAAGGTGAGTGAAGAGAATAAATAGAGTTTTGACAAGTATAAGAGTGAAACAGAATGAGTAATGGTAGAAAGGAATATGAAAGATTACAGAGACTGAATACATCTGCGTAAGCCATTGACAACGATTTTGAGCCATGTCACCTATTGTCTCCAGCCATTGATTCTTAGAGTCCCGAGGGCGGGCCCCAACCCGCAAGTCTGCATTTCCCTACCTGACTCAGTTTAACTGTCAAAGATTACATGGATTGATGAGGCCATGTTTTTGTTTGGCCACCACTTACTCTTTTCCAACCTGCACCTATATCAGCTAGTAATGCCCGTCGAGGTGGGGGAGGCGATGGTTAGGCATGCGCAGCACGTGACCTAGCCATCTCAATCTCGGTCGGTAGGTCGGTTTTCGACATAGAACTTTGCACATATGTGCGGCAGTTCATATGTAACTTTATAGCCTCTTCGATTGATTTTCCCTCTTTGCCCAACACTCTACGCCTAACGTCAACATTACTTACCTTATTATGCCACCTAACGTGAGAAAGGGATCGTAGACATCTATGATCAAAAACAGTCAACCTTTTCATGTCTTCAACTCGTATTGGCCATGTTTCAGAGCGATAAAGGACGGAGAGAACTGCTGAGCAGTATACACGTCCCTTGGTTGATAGCCGGACAATGGCTGGTAGTTGAGTTACATATACCACGAATCGGTAGAAATTGGAATTCATGGGCTGGTCATTGGATCAGGTCCCAATGACTGAATGGCCTACGAGCTTGCGTTGTAACCGGAAGGTTGCAGTTTCGAACCTCGGTGGGTGCGTAGTGTTGAAAAGTTCCAAGATAGGACGAAACAGTTGTCTAGTGTTGTCTGATTTCCTAACTGACGTCAGCTATTTTTCAAGCCCATGGCCTTCTTTACATACATCTACACGTATATACATATTTTTGATCGGACACTAGTCAGTAACTAGTGTGATGTGTCTAGTCGTTTGCTTGGTGCAGACTGAATTCTATCACTCAGGTTTGCTATATGGCCACCATGACACTAGGTAGCTCGCCATCACAGTGCACATTGATTTGATGATATTAGATAGTTGAAGGCAATCAGCAGGAAGCCTTGCCAGGGCCTAGGTTTTGTGCTAGTTGGCATTTACCAGTCAGCGAGATGTATCCCTTCTGAGATTCGAACCCGTGTCACCCAGTGAGTACTGCAGTCAGAGGCATTACCACTGAGCTATTCGTGTTCACGATTGACGACTTCCTGTGGGACTGACTGTATTGGATACTTTGTCAATTGCGAGTCCGAATAGTTCAGTGATAATGCCTCTAACTGCAGTACTCACTGGGTGACACAAGTTCGAATCTCAGAAGGGACACATGAATTCCTTCTAGGCAGTTGCAGAGACATCTTGCTGACGAGTACCAACTAGCACGAAACCTAGGTCCTGGCAAAGCTTCCTGCCGATTGATTGCCTCCAACCATGTAATACATTTGTTGTTGTTGTTTTTTACTTTTACAGTTAGAAACAAAAATCCACAATCTTAAAAATGATGAACCATTGAAGAACACTGAAATATTACGATATTTAAAACAAATCCATTTTGATGCACAACGAAAATTGAAATTTATTCAATGTTATCTACTGCAAACCACCGACAGAAGTTATTATAATAAATTGTCTACAAATAATAAAAATGAAACTTTTATACTGCCGCCGCCGCCTCCAGTTCCTGCTGCTGCTCCCCCACCTCCTCCTCTTCCACGGCCATTACCAGGATTCACTAATGGCTGTCGTCCAATGAAAACAACTGGGAATGAGACGAAGATGGTTCACCCAGCAGCAGCAGCAGTAGTAGTAGCAGTGGATGACATTCATCCACGAAGTAAATCATGCAATATATTCGCAAGAAGTACACATCACAATCATAATAATAAATCTGTAGAGTTGCCGAGAATTGTTGACAAGACAAGACAAGAGAAGAAGACTACCAATGGAATACCAATGAGTAAATCTGTCGAGAATACAAAGAAACAACAACCAGTAGATAAACAAATTAGAAGTGAAGAAAGTCATGAATCTTAAAGTTGTGCTTATGATATAGATGTCGACGTGTTTATTTCATTAAAACCTGTAAGTTTTCTTCGTTATTTTATACCTTTAAGAGGGGGATAGAGAGAACGAGAGATACTTTGTTGCCTATCGTCATATTGCCCTGCCAATAACGGCTACACCTTGGAGCGGTAGTCGGGTTTGTATATCACGGTGACCCAATACAAGTTACAGTTGCTGGATACTTATGTTCCTTGCAGGTCTTCCCACCATGCTAGGAGGGTTTGTTCGAATAACGGTTAGACTAAAAGCATATTAATATATGTGTAAAACTTGGGCACTGTGGTAGTAAGTAATTACATATTAGTTTGTTTATTAGGTATATCACACAGTGAGTGTAACAGTATTATTTACTGGATGACGTTTCGAACAAAATTTATTGTTCATAATCCTATCAGTTGTAATCACACGACTTCGAAACTTGAGTTTTATAGTTTTCTTTGTCTTCTCCTATTTGTCTTAGGAGTAGTAGAATCTTCCAGTTGTTCGGGTGGACAGGTGATGAATCATTCCTATTACATGTATTTGCAGTTGATTCGATAAACAAAGCTTCTGTTATCAATCTCTTCCTATACCCTGTGACATTAGATTTTAAAACTGTCATCCTATCCCATCCTATTGTATGGTTGTGTGTAATTGCATGTAGTGAGTGCTATAGCTGAACTATTCTCTAGATTTCTTATCTTATTTGGATCAATCAATCTAGATTTTGTTAATATCTTGCTAATAAATATGGCTATGGAGGCAGTCAGAAACGAACTCATTTCTGACGAAGAACTCGAGCTTAGGACAAAAGTGCCACTTGAGTGCGCCGGTGGCACAGTGGTTAGGACTCTCGCCGACCATGCACATGGTCCGGGGTTCGATCCCCTGCCGGCCTGAATTTGGGCTACCGATATCCATGCTGAAAATTTCACACTTGTACTGAAAATACGGTGTGGAATCAAGCTGTAAATCAAAATAAAATAAATAAATAAAATAAAATAATGCTGGGAGTACAGCTATGCTTGACTTCCACAGTATTTAAATTCTAAGGGAAAATATACAAACAAACTGAAGGAGTTGCCATGGGATCACCAATATCTCCAGTTGTAGCAGATATATTCATGGATAAGTGGGAGAGCATATCGATTGAAACGTTCAACCCCACACTAAAAGTATGGTAGGGGTATGTAGATGACACATTCACTGTACTGAGAACACAAGACATAGATGGGTTTTCGAACACATCAACTCGAAGGTTGAAGCAATTCAATTCACGTTTGAATTGGAAAATCAGGAAGGGGAGCTCCCAATGTTAGATTGCAACGTAAAAAGTAAAGAAGATGAGAAGTTAAACACTAGTGTGTGTTTACAGGAAACCCAAACATTCAAACAGATATTTGGACTTCCGATCATCCCATCCTATGTCAGTAAAAATAGGATTGGTGAAATGTTCAAATGACAGAGCACAAAAACTAAGTAATACTAAAGAAAATCTGAGACAGGGAGTGATACACATAAAAGAAGCCTTGAAACTTAATAATTATCCGGACAAATTAATCAGGAAATATGTAATGAAATGTGAAAATAAAATAAATAATGATAGTAGCGATAGTGATAATAACAAAAGCAATGATAATAATAATAATATTAATGACGACACCAATAATAAGGAATGTGAATCATCAGTAGTAATTCCATACAAGGAAGGAACCTCGGAAGCCATACGCAGAATTCTTAACAATGCAGGAATAAAAATGGCATTCAAACCCACAAACTCAATTAGAAACAAGCTTTGTCGGTTAAAGGATCCTGTAGAGCCTTTAAGACAAAACAATTTAGTTTATCTAATACCCTCCAATGATTGTCAGGTCAAATACATAGGTCAAACTAGTAGAACAGGGGCAGTCAGACTAGCTGAACATAAAAACTTAGCGAAATCTAGATTGGTTGGTCCAAATAAAATAAGAAATCTAGAGAATAGTTCAGCTATGCACTACATGCAGTTACGCACAACCATACAACAGGATGGGATAAGATGGCAGTTTTAAAATCTGATGTCACAGGGTATAGGGAGAGATTGATGACAGAAGCTTTGTTTATCGAATCAACTGCAAGCACGTGTGTAATAGGAATGATTCATTACCTGTCCCCGATATCTGGAAAATTCTACTACCACGCCTACGATAACAAATAGGAGAGTATAAAGAAAACTATAAAACTCAAGTTTCAAAGTCGTGTGATTATGATTGATATGATTATGAACAATGAATTTTGTTCGAAACGTCATCCAGTAAATAATAATACTGTTACACTCACTGTGTGATATACCTAATAAACAAACTAATATGGAATAGACTAAAAGCAGTTATCATAGGGGGGGTGGGTACATGGGCTCCAGAATCCAATCGGATCGAATGGTGTGCGGACATGTATTGGACACCAGTGACCACAGGAAGGTAGTGCTCCTGACGCTGTTTTACGGATGAAACATCAAGTGAAAGGCTTGTGGAGCGATCCCTTAAGGCAACCACCCTGGCCAGTATCTTAGTCCTCACATTAACACTATCGTCATATTTATATACAAACTCTATTGAAGAGTATTATATAGGTATGGAATAACTAATAGATACACGGTACATGTTCTGTTCTATTTGAAATCTGCAAACTCAGTGTGTCTGTATTCTAGTATTGATACACCCATTGAGACTAGAGTTCAGCACCTAATGCTGCACACGTTGTGATATCTTTAACATGAATTTGTCATTGATATACATTCAAAAGTATGCACTGGCGAGTGAATGGTCAACGGGATATCCATACAACAAAGAAGATCCCGGATTAAATCCGAGCTGGTGAGTTCATAGGCATGCACTGATGTGAAGCATGACGCCACACAACACTACTGATTGGTTGATATAAGTAGTTATGTACACTGGTCACACCAACCAGTAGTACTGGTGAGTTAAAGCAAAGTGACCTAATCAGCGCATGGTTGTTTCGTCCATTTAGGCAGTCGAGCTCATCAGCAATATACCCCAAGGGATGCGAACGCAAGAGTGACCTCGAGTCGACCAATCAGAAAAATGAGGGATTTTTGCACAAAAAATTAAGTAGATTTACATAAAAAAGCATGAAAAAACAACCTTAAACAGGATATTTTTGTCTAATATGAGATAAAAATATGTCCCAATTATAATGGGAAGTGTCAGTTTTTTAAATTAAACCAATTCCTATACACACATATTCGTCCAGGTGACTGGATATAACTTGGTTTTGAGAGCCATTTATTGCTCTTATTCTATTTTTTTAAATCTTCCTCAGAAATCTTCTATTGAATTAGTATGAGTACCGGTTCTGGGATCGATGAAATCATCAGAATGGTTAACTCGGTGGTGCATACATCCTAAATCAGATAGTCGGGTATATGCTGCTTATTCATCCATGCGTATAGTAGTGCCAGGCAAAACGAGTCTCTGAATAATAGAGAGAAGAGTGTCGGCACTTCTCTGAGGAATAAGTTCAATAAATCCATTCTGAATTTGGGTGTCGTAAATTCCCAATATAATCAAACGTTATTAGCTCTAGCACGTCCCCGATTGTATTTCTTCTTTATAAGCACCGTTTCGTCGATATGAACGACAGCACCGACTCATTTTCCACGATGCTAAATCTGGACAAAATTGAAACCACTGTGCACAGTAGACGTCAACTTACTATCTGTCCGAGTGGCAGCTGACCTCACACCGGACTTCAAAATCCAGTAATGGCATAGAAACAGTATATTTGTCAAGGAAAGTTTCGATTTAGCAAAGAAAGTTCCTAGAAGACAATTAAGTGGGTGTGTCACTTACCAGTAGGAATACTCGTTCGTTTCCTACACTCTGTACATCTAAATATATATATCCATCAATGACCTGGGAATACGATTGCAGGTTCATTGAAGCACCACAGCTACATATACGAGAACGTCCTATCAATCCATTATCCAGGCAGTATTGAAATACGTGATCTTGATGAAATTTGCATCTGAGCAGATGAACACCGTTGATTTTCGCGCTAAAAATAATCGTAAGTTTCCTTAACCAATGACTAGCAAGCATTCAAGGTCATTTGAGCGTTTGCACTCCTGGGACGCTATTGTTGAACTTCATCCGAAAAGCCTTTCAATGGTTCTGTAATCATGGTGTCGATTCACTGGAAAATGTCAAGCTTCACTTACAATTATTCTCAGCATTACACTACATCAAAACGGGTATCAGGAATTATGAATAGACACTTTTATATAGTGTCATCACTTGGGCAAATGTAGGTTTATTGTACTATGAGTTATAACTGGTTGCACTATATAAACAGCTGAATGATACCATCGGACCGATAATGCTACCGACTTGAAAGCCAAGCCCCTTAAGCCAATAGAAACTCACCTCACCTACACACAACACAAGCAAATGATGAAAGAGTGGATGTCAACTGCAAAACTAGCAGATAACGACACCTACTTGATGGTAAAACGGAATTCAATGACTCTGTAAAACTTCGTACTACTCTACGAGTCACATTTCACGATGACATTTGGTTAGCTGTGGAGTTCAGGACCCCAGCATTTCGTCTTCTCTTATTCCGGTCTTATCACCAGGATGTATCTCTGCTGGATTTTAGTACTAGTTCGAATACACTATCCACCACCACTCATACTGAGGATGAAGATGCATCATCCAGTTGAGTTTCGAATAGAACGAAATCAGCCTTCTAGATTTCAATGCTAACGACCAACAACCACCAGACGACTCTTTGAAATTATTATTTTTATTGAGAAATATAAAACAGAACAATATATATTGATTATATGCATATGTATATATATATGTATAGATTATGTATATTTCCATGTTATAGATTACATCAACTTTCAACTGAAGTGGTCCACATTATGAAGTAAACGATAACCAACGATGCGAATGTTGTTTTTTTTGTTTAGGAATCATCGGGAGGATACATACGCATTGTTCATAAAAGTTATTGTATTCCCTCCCCTCTTATATAATAACAATAACAACAATATATAATGTGAAAATAAGAGTCAAAAAAGAAACACCAAATCACAAAAAAAACAAATAAAATTGAAACTATTTACGATTTTGTTTCACAGTATTATTGTTATTATTGTTGTCAAGTAGAGTAAACAATTCACAAAGGAGATTAACAGAAAAACATAAGGAGGCAGACAAAACCAGAGAGTGAGCGAGCCAGCGAGCGAGAAAGAGATAGAGGGGGAGATGGGGGGGTGTTAGTGATGTGCGCAGCGCGTGATATTTGGAGGGGAGAGGGCAGGGGGCCGGAGGCAGGGCAAAAGATAATGGAAAATAGTATGCAGAAAACACACACACAAACAGGCACGATAAAATTGTCCTAACAAGCATAAAGAATGAACGGAGGCTTAGCAAAAGTCTACTGCACCGCAAAACTGCTGAATAGAGCGCACAAACAAACAAACACGATAACAACTTTTTGGATATAGTCATCAATATGCATTAAATTTGTGAAGAAAACTGTAACAGCAAAACTGAACGGACTAACGAAAAATTACAGGCAAACACACACACATTGACCAGTCTCCTCCTGTTGAAAACCATAGTCTTTATGAATGAACATTCCCTTGACAAATGATTTTGAAATGAGTGTGCTGTATAGAGAGAGTAGTAGTGTTGATCTTTAGTGTGAGCAGCTACTAAGGGAGGGACTTCATCTTGATTGATTTGATTGGAGTAGTCTATCAACAGCTGCATTGACATCTCCAAATGTAGCGATAAGTGCTAGAAATACAAATGCACAGAAAGATATTTACATTCATATTCCCTAAGTATTTGTCAATTAAGATTAACATACATGATTATTAGAGAATAATACACCAACTGTGCTGGATTGAACATTGACTGGGTATCTGTTGACAAGAGTAGCTCTTAGAACAATCTTCGCTAATGTGAGACTATGGCAAATGGGAACCATTCACATTCTGAACCAGAAAAAATTTATACGTCACAAGTCCTAATCAATTTTGGAACATCTCCATTACATCATATAGAAACACTACAGGCCTTTACACAGTTCAAATATGTCGTTTTACTAATACTCTAACACACTAAAATTTGGAAAAGATTAAGAGGAAGATGTGAGAAACACCTCAATACCTCAAATTAAGTTGGATGTATATTTCTACGAAGAGATTTAAGATGTACACACCAATGCGTTTTGAGTGGGACACATAGTGCTTTAAGTGTGGGCTTTGGATCCACAGTAGGCGGTGGCGTTTTTTACAGGGTGGGATCCTTAGTCTCAAGCCTAGCCTCTCCTCTTTTCCCGAGCCAACCACTACCGACTAAACGAGGTTATTAAGCAGAACACGTCGTCCAGGAATTGAATCCCGCATCACGTGAGGCGCGTGGTTGGCAAGCATTCTACAATTAAACTATCGATATGTCGACGCTGCTCAGATATCTCCGTTCACACGAAGGCGAGTGATTTATGCTGTAAAAGTACCGTGGATATTAGATAATTTCACAATCTTCCGTATAGAAGTGGCTTATGACTGACTACACACAGTCCCTTCCCTTACTGTCTTCTTCTCTTGCTTTGGGTGCTACATGGGAGGAGAGCGGCAACTCGAACTGCTGCACGTCTTCGCAAAGTACTATATTAAAACTAGTCAGTCAGTTAGTAAGTGCACAGTCCCTATTGAATTAAATACGCTAAGATGGACGGATCGTTAAAGTTATTCAGTTTAGAAATTGTCTGTGCAAGAAATGATACCTACTTGAATCCCTAGCAGATTGATTCAAGAATTGGTTCCGTAGGATCCTACCTTAGGTAACCATATATTATCAGTGTGGGAGAAAATGTGGACACTGACTGGTTTCAATGTAGAACTTCGTACCGATGTGCAGCTGTTCGAGTCGCCACACTCCATGTAGCACACAAAGCAAGAGAAAGAAAAAAGAAATGCAAAACGGAGATAGTAAACAAAGATATGAGACAAAATGAATAGTAATATCGAAGAACAATATAGTTTTACTGGGTATTATAAGTCACAAGGAGTGGATGAATCTGAGCCAGTCATCACTGAGAACGACCTTGAGCAATATCACTAATAATTGTCTCCAGTTGCCATTGGTTTTAATCATACCGAGGACCCCAACCATCCAGTCAGAAAGTCTACACCTTCCTACTTGGCTGGCTTAAACTAACTGTTGTGGATTTCACTGACTGATAAAGCCATGTTTTGGTCTGACCACCAGTAGCCAACTCTTTTCTAACCTGATCTATCATATATCAGCTAACATTGACCGTCAGTCGAGGAAGGCGACGGTTAGGCATGCATACGTAACACATATCCTAACTCTCTCAGTCGGTGCAACTTCACAGCCTCGTCTGTTGATTCCTCCTCCCACCTACCTAGCACTGGACTGATGCCTCACCTCGATATTGCTCACTCTATTATACCACTGCTCCAAATGGGAGATAGAACACAAGTACCTATGATCAAAGACAGCTAAACAGATGGTCTTTTCATGTCTTCCACTTTCAATGGCCACGTCTCACCCACAGCCATAAAGGAGGAGGACAGAGCGGATTGCCGCTCAGCGGCACACACGCCCTTTGGTCGACAGCCAGCCGGATATCACGTCTACTAAGCCAGAGACGGCGGCATATGCGAAACAGGCCTTCTGTATCCGTTCTGAGATTTCGTCAGCGATTATGTTACAACACACTAGACTTTTTGAGATCGGTGAGTCTCTTCAGAAAAGTGAAACGAAGAAAACTGGATGAAATCACTTCCGGCTTTTATACCTATAAAGCATAAATTGATATACACTAATGGGAAAGTGGGGCATATATCCAGTGTAATCTTACAACAGGGTATACACGATTTTTGAAAGATATTTGACGAGCATCAATACAGGGTAAATATAGCTTATACATATTTCAGTATCACTCAAAAGCTCATATATATATTTTTATTATTTCAATATGAACTGCATACATCACCTGCAATCTGGTCAAATAAAGTAATGCAAATTTTTTTAAGAATCAACTTCTGACAACACAACAGTAGTAGTTGGAACAATCGAAAACTAACTAGGCAGTTAGGAGGAAACTATAGATGCTTTCTGCTAACCAATATAAAATAGTTCAAGTTTATCCAGGTTGAATAATAAAGAGCACACATAACAATAAAAGTTAAATTGAGAAGAACTGTAATTACCCTGTAAATTAGCCTCTCGATTTACGAACCCCATACTGGCCAAAATTTCAAGTTGAGCTTGATATCTTTGTTCAGGTGGCTGTTTACAAAAAAAAATACAAGGAAAATGATTATTAGAAAATGTAAACACAGAAGGTGATTTAAAAAAAAAAGAACAGACATGAAATATCATGAAAGAAAGTTGCTCACCACAGTATTGTTTGCAGCACCACCAGCAGCAGCACCAGCGCCCAATCCACCATTATTTGTCGACATCATATTTAACATACTGGCTAAAAGTGTAGTCAATTCAGCCTGATTAGGAGGATTAGCTGCACTGTCTGTGGTACGATCAGCTGGTGCTGTTGTTGTTGTTGTTGTTGATCCAGTGGTGGAATCAGCGTTACTCCCTGGAGCTGGGGCTGTTGAACCATCTGTTGTGGCAGGAGTCGCCGCCGGCGGAACTGAACCTGGACCAACAGAAGGCGCAGACATGCCTAGACTGGTTAATACACCTGGGGCTTCTTGTTGTAGTGTTTGAAGACCTTGCTGGATTTGCATCATAGCCTATGACAGAGATTGTATTTAAGAAAAGCATTTGTTAGTATATGCTAAAATTGATAATTAAAACATGTGAATAAAAGGATACCAGACAGAAATACAATATAGCTATATTATACACCTAAGCAGGAGGTGAGGGTGTCTAATGATTAGGAAAGCCTTGTGTGCCTATAGAAGTGTGTGTGTGTGTGTGTTTCCCAGCTGCAAAACCATGGAAGTCGGTTTATTTTTGGAGTACCTGAGAAAGAAAGAAATAAGCACAAGTGTTGCGTAATCGCAGAGTCTAAGGGCCAACTGCTTGAGACCGGCCACACACGGACTGTTTGAAGGGGTTTTCGGAGTTGCGTCCGCATTAAGATCTTATTGCACACTACGGACCAATGCAAGGAAACTCAGGATGAACAATTCTCAGAGTCAACCGTCCCTCTCCGCGGGCAGAGAGGAGAGCCCGTATAAGGGCTTGCTGGTTATCTGAGGGGAGCACCTTATTGCCATTACATCCCTATTTCCCAGCAGTACGACCTCGCTCACATCAGCAACATAGTGTAAACGACTTACACTATGTGATGGTAAATCCTTTCAGTCAGACTACTATTTGGTTCCAGCCAGTGTAGATCGTTGGGTCATTGCTACATGCAAGCTCCACCACCATATTAGGATAGCAACTACCGGTCCACAGTCGGTGGCACAGTGGTAGAATGCTAGCCAACCCATGCAGCTGGTCCGGGGTTCGATCCCCGGCCACGGATGCACTTTTACCTCATTATGCCAGTAATAAGACATATGAAGAGGGAAGGTTGGGTATGAGGCCAGCAACCTCATCCCGTAAAAATAAACACCATTGCTACTGAAACTTCGAAGCTCTGGCTTGAAAGCGCCCTATGTGCCTCTGGAAACGCAAAAGTATATAAAAAAAAGGGCCCACCATAGCTGGGCAACGCATTGAACAACAGATTCAAGTATCAAAAGTTAAATTATCTTGAGTACTTTGCACAGGAAACCAATAAGATGAAATCGATGTTTAATACACGCAAATTGTACGTAGAAACTGAATCGTTCATTGAGAAGCAGTGGATAACAAGATGTTTTCAATGCGGTTTGGAATCACAAAACAGTAGCATTACAATATGGGTTATTCTTTAATAAGTATTCGACTTGAACTACTGAGATAATCGCAAGACGACAAACATCATATAAACGGAACAAAGATATTACTATTAGAACACAAATTTCGTATATTGTAGGCACACAAAATCCCATAGTTTGCGTGAGAGGTGGGATAATGTCCGAACCGAAGCAGGTGATTGTCTTACGGGACCAATCCCCTCTCCAAGCCTTTGACTTGTAGTCTGATCCCCAAGAGGTAATGGAGCAGCGTCAGGAGCTACGTCCATCAGATGATAGCTGGTGACCGGAACAAGTGCATACGTCATTCGGTCCTTTTAGATTCTGGAGCTCATGTAAGCCGTAAGTTTGGATTTAGGGTCTTCCAAATGCCCTAGGAAGACTAACATGTTCAGCAGGCTGGTTGTAAGCATCAGACTTTCGCATTCGCTCTTTCACTTTTGTGAGGAACACTGCTACGCCACGACGTCAAGGCAGTGGGGTAGAACTTACTTGACAAAGATAGACGATGAAGGACAGAGAAACGAGTCAGTCATCATGACTCCTCTATTCTGAAATACGTGAGCTTGAAGAACAAAACTACATTGTGTTGAAAATAATGTATATCACGGAATAGTCAATGTTATCTCCAGAGGTATATCTAGGCAAGAAACAATAGAATTTATACACTATAACTTGTTCTACTCTGCCTAGATTAGAAGTGAAATAGATCTAACAGCAGTCACTGGTAGGACGGGGGTATCTTCAGAGTGCAGATTCACTAAGGGCAACATTAAATATGTAATCCCAAATGTGTACTAACGCTTTATAAATTAACAGTCTTACACAATGCTATAATAATAGAAAATAATAATCCTTGCATATTACACAAATGAATGGTGAAATAAGCAGAGGTGGGGGTGGGATAGGGGGCAGAAATTCATCCAGGACTTACTTGCAAGGCACGTGGATTGGATAGCATATTCATAAATGATGGTTGATTAATTTGATTGGCTAACTGAGGAAGCATCTGCCGCATTTGATCACGTACATTAGGATTTACACTAGAAATCATAGGATTATTCATGATCAAATTTTCCATAACTGATGGATTTGCACTCATCGCTTCAAGCATAGCTTGTACATACGGAACCTGGTTACAAAAAACAGGCGAATTTCAAAGTAAATATGCATGATGATTCTGAGCTAACCGAATAGGTAATAGCTATAAATAGTTTTCAGATATGACCTTTACATTCGATCGAAGATGACTATGAAATAAATAGAATGCTACTACACTGTACAACCACTTGCAATTTTATACAGTTGGCAATAAACCACAATAGTTGTGGTCAATTAGGACACGACCACTGAAACAATGGCATAGAGCTGCGCACACAAATGGCTCGTCAGTTTCCGTATGGCATTATTATTATTTATTTCTGTACGTTCCCTGTGGAACATAGGGCTTCAAGTCTTGAAGTCTCAGTGGTGATAGTGTCATTTTAACGAGATGGAACTGACAGCTTCTTATTAGTTGGAAAACTAGGCGAGGTTTAAGAGCACGTCAGTCAGGAATGGAACCCAATGAAAATACCCACTACAGTCCTACAGGAGGTCAATCGCCAGCCCAAATAGATCAGTGGTAACGTCTCTAACTGACTGCAGCACTGGGTGACGCGGGTTCGAATCTCAGAAGGGACATGAGTTCCTTCAAGGCAGCTGCAGACACGCCTTACTGACGTGTCAATCAGCACGAAACCTAGGTACAAGGCTTCCTGCTGATTGCCTCCAACTATCTAATATCATCGAATCAATGTGCACCGTGATAGCGAGCTACCTAGTGGCATGGTGGCCACATTGCAAACCTGACTGATAGAATTTAGTCTGCACCAAAGAAAGGACTAGACACGTCACACTAGTTTCTAGTGTCCAATGAAAGTGGAACCCGTATCTCACATGTGGCATTTAGTATCGAATATGTCAAAATGAATAAATAAATAAAAAATCTTACGTCACTGAAACATTTAGGGTTATAAATTGCACTCAATAATTTTTGAGGTAGTGTTTAAATGCAGTGTACTTGACACTAATATAAATGAATGGAGGTAAACTTACTTGAAAAGCATTTGATACCAACTCTGGACTAGAGGAGAGTTGATTCAACATAGTCTGCACAAAATCACTATTACGATTTGTATTTGCTGTACCAGTTGCTGCCGTTGACGTACCATTACTTGAAGTAGAGTTGTTTGTCGCTGGTGCCCATGGATTCGGCATAGGCTCAGTGGCTGGAGCTCCTTGTCTTACACCACCTAAATCGTTAATGAATGATATAAAAATGATTATGTTGTCGTTAGATACAACTGAGTTAATACAGACACCCAAAACCAAAGAATAAAACTCAATATTTACACTGCATTCTACCAACTTTTACTAAAAAGGTTCTTTTTACAATCACTGTCAACTTAAACAGGTAACGAACCACATGTTTTTAAAAAAATGTTACTGTTATTCACATCAAGTTTGATAATTACCTGCCAAATTTGCGAAAGGATTCGGATCTGAATTACCACTCGACTGATTACCACTGAGAGTTGATCCTATGCTAGTAGCTGCATCCATCATTGGCTCTTGAATATCTCGAAATATCCGCTGCAAATGATTCATACCACCTGGGAGTGATTCTAGATTTGAAATTGCTCGATCGTAGTTACGGACCATTTCTTGCATCAGAGCTGGATTGCGAGCAATTTCCATAGACTGTCGAAGAAGATCTGGATTGTTCAGCATATGGCCTAATTCTGGATTACGCTGTAAGTAACAACAATGAGATAATGTCACAGGTAGAGTGATGGACACAAAGTGAACAGAAAGAGTTAATAAGGTTGAGGGAAAAAGGTATTGTCAATTAATACACTTACGTCAATCAAATCACGCATTTGAGGATTTGCCTGAAATAAACTACGAATAACCTCGGGATTACTCATTAGAGATTGGACTAATGGGCTATCTAGCATATTTCGAAGAAGTTCGGGATTTTGCATCACCTGAGCCTGCATGGCCTGTTGCATACCAGCAAAGGTATTCACTGAAAATATAGAAAGAATTTTAATCGTGAGTACTTTTAAAAAATATGAATGCTTGAAATGATGACTTGGAAACACTAATAGTGATAACCAATTAATCATCATTTCCATAGAATTATATAAACTTAAAGTTACCAAAATTCACATGTGGAACTTTGAGTTCTCTCTCTGTCAAGAAACCAATGACATCCATTGCCTTAGTGATTAGAAAGGTGAGCTACATCCTATTAATCTATGTACATGCATTATGTGGTCCACCACTGACTGTGTAGCTCACTTGTCTGGTCTGTGTGCTCAACTTACTTAGACGCAGCTCCACCTAACAGGGTTCAAGCAGTCAAGCGGTATCACTAGTCTTCACCCAATAGGTCTGGTACAATCCCAACTGCATGGAAATGCAAGCTGTTGCTGAGCAACATTACCAATAATAGGTGCAGTTCTGGTAGATATACACATGACTATGTATAAAACCTAAGGCTATAGACACGAATGATTATCAACGCTAAATATCTGCTTTCTTCAAAACTAAGACCACAGTTTATTAATACCAATGGGAGGGAAATTATGTTATGCCTTCATAACTTAATTAACGCATCAATCTAATCCGTAATCTCAACCATGATCCTTGAATACCGCCTTTTCCATTTCTAAGTTCAGCTAATTAGATGTTTGTGGCCAGTCAAATCACAATCTGTATGTTGTTGACCTTAAATCATCCGGTCGCGCAGAGGGAAGTACATGGGCCACAGCTCAAGTGGTTTACTCAGTTGTGCTAAGCTCAGACAGCTAGCTCCTATGAGGACAGTGAACTTATTTTACCTCCTGAGCAGTTTAACCGCATTCACGGTAGAATGAAACGGCCGTTCAATGCTTAGATCTCGTCGACCAGGTCAGCGACCACCGCTGTTTGATGAGTGACACCCGTATCACTTTGTATAAACCACCATGCTACTTCACTTGCTTTACGATTGTCACTCATGATACCAGGCTAATCAGGTATTGTTATCTGCAAATAAATTTGAGACACCAGTTGTTTTCTACTAAGCTTACAAAAATCACACAATTATTACTTCCCCGGTGAATCACTTTTATTGCAGTTACCTACGTCTCTTTGCTCTGCCTATCCGCACTTATTCGAAATGCTGCATTTCTGTGTGACGTTCCACGTCGAAATCTCAGTTCAGTTCAGTAACCTCTACAGTCACTTTCCCTTAAGATATGATCTTATTTATCTGGACTCCTGAGGACCAGAATAGTAGCCTCCGTGCTCCCCGAAGTTTATCCTAGCGTGTCATATATATATACATATGTATATATGCCTGTAAATGAATTGCAATTAGTCGGCTAATATGAAACTGTATGTCCGAGACTGGGAGTGAGTGGTTGTCCCGACACACTTGTCAAGGTATGAACATCCGCCAAAAACTTGTGTTTCACTAGCCTGATTATAAGTCGCTTGTAATTTACTATAAAAACTATCCGATGAAACAGCATTCCCACAGAAACGTGCCCCATATCCCCTGATTCGTATGTCCGCGGTCATTATAAACATTACTCAAATTTCCTGTGGTAGCAAAACAGATGACTACTACTCTGAGTCGCTATTATAAGTTGTCGCTGCATCCTCATACTACCTGCTACAACCCTAACGCTTAAAATTTGGTAAGAACCATCACGAATGTTAGAATGATGGGTAAGGCTCTTGACTGGTTGATGTAACTTCTTGCCTGCACTGCACTCATTTATTTTCACAGAAGAGGTGAAATAGGTGTAAAAATAAAGCGATATACTTTCATCTTCCACCAAACAGCTAAGGTGATTGACGTTAAGCTTCCCAATTATAAGAAATGGATTTCTACTGTATCACAGGCAGGTGTCTGCGATAATTCTTAATTGAGTTTTACATAGCGAGAAAAATCATTAGTGCATGAGTTACCAAGTCTTTCAATGAACTACAGCTATGCCGCTTTATGACTATGACTTATATTCCACACCAATAAGTCGTAAAAACATGGCTTTCAAGTCGACTTTGAGCAGTGAGTGGTCCTATGATGAGGTTTCCGGTAAGGGGTATTAAATACAGCTACCTTATTCCTTGTTTATTCGCAGCACTGTCCTGAGGGAATAACTGGTAGTAACACTACTTTGTAAAAGACAACACAACTATTCAAAAGTGAGAGTTCTTACACACTAGTTAAAAACTCCATTAACATGTCTGAGTAAAACATACCATGACAAATGATAAGTTACTCACTTCCAGCGTTCTGAGTTGTGCCAGTATTCCGGTTTTCCCTTGGAGTTTCTCTCACATCTGTAACTACTGAAGATGTACCCGTTGGGTTCACCTGTGGAGGCTAAAATTTAATCAAACCTAATATAACTGCAACACACCTGTTGTTGTTTCTGTAAAAAGTTAGTATCATGAAATTAGAACTTACCGAAATCACCAAGTGAATAGTACAAGAATCCTTAATCTTGAGTTGTTCTAAAATGTCTTCATCCTTAAGAATCTTTCCACCAAATATAAGAATTAGTCTTTCCGATGGCGTTTCAAACGCTTTCGATGCTTCATCCCGGAGCTATTCATTGTTAACATAAGCGTCAATAGAGCTGACAAACTTACTTCTTTAACTGAGCATGAACCGGGTACGGAGACGGTCTTCTCCTCCTTAGGGGATTTTATTCGCAAACTGATAGTAGACATCACACTAATACTGATGTTCAAAAACGGCGCTGTACCACTCAATAAGGTTAGTTTTAACAAGGGTATGTGAAAACTTTATCATAGAATGTTAATAATAGTTCTTGTCTTGTCTAAAATAGCTTTAACCGATTGCAGTTATTAAATTGAATGTTAAAATCAGAGGGCAAAAGATGCTATTCAGATCTAAATTGGAAGTGAATTGGATTTCAGATTCATTGATTTCTCTGGGGACAGAAGGCCTGGCTGTTCCCTTCTTCAACGAGCCGGCTGGGGGAGAGACAGTACTTTTTCGGGTCAGTCCCAAGATATAGTGATTAGATGGTAGAACCAGTACTTCACAGTGACAGAGTTACAATCTGTGATTTTCTAACAATGTTAAGAGGTAGAGAAGATAGAACATGTGTGTGGTCATTATATTCTTGAGGCAAATTACGCACTACTGATGCTCGCTGCATAAGGTGTTGCTTCTTCTCAGGAAAGTATTTTCATAATCAGTGTACGGCTCGATGCTCGAAATCATCTCCGATCTGTACATTTGACAGTGGCTTCGATCAAAACTTACGAATTAAGATGCAGGCTTATGCACTACGCGCTTGTTCATTTTCCGCTACTGCAATTTGAATAAATGGTCCCCTAGAACCAGTAATCTGCTGCTGTACGATTTTCATCAGTTTGATGTTTGATGTTTTAATAGACTTTTTCCTTTGAATGGGCTTAATTTGTAACCCTAGACATTTGAGGCGCTCATTGTACACTCGACTATTCTTTTTCTGTATCCGCTAGGCTGGGTAGTATAATCCGTACAACTCGCGAACGTCGATACCCGCAGTCTCTTAACTGGTGAGCCCAACCACGAACTACCGTCAACCACGTAAACTGGTGAGCCCAACCACGAACTACATCTTCAATTCACACGCAGATAAACCCGGTGAGTTCGTTCCTTTTTGTGTTTATTCTTGCACTATATTGTTATTGGCATACTTTTCGTCATGAGTGATCCTAGCCCCAAGGTTATTCGGATTCGCTCAACCGCCAAAACAATCCAGCTAGTACCATATTGGCCAGATAATGCTGAAACGTGGTTTCAGATTGCTGAGTCTGATTTTTGTGAACATGGCATAACTGATCAACGTTCACAGTTCCTTGCAGTTATTCACGCCCTACCGCGGGAATTCAGCAGGTGCGTAACTCTGCAGATGTCGGTAAGTAACTCGTACGAGTTGCTAAAAGCATCCATCCTCAAGAGAAACGTTCTCACAGATCGACAACGTCTGGATGAGTTATTTCGTAACATCGAGTTAGGAGATCAGTCAGCCGTGAGCATGCTGGCAAGAATGAAAGAGATCATTGGCCAAAGTCAGTTCGATGAAGGACTGTTCAGAGAACTATTTTTATCCAAACTGCCACAGTCAGTTCAGACTGTACTTTTGACACTTCAGGGTGTTCTCATAGATGATTTAGCTGTCTCTGAAGATAGAATTCTAGAGATAACGAAACGGCCAGTTACCGAAGTATACTCTGTTACCGAGCAGACTTCGAGGAAGGATTCTGCAATGATAGAGTTATGCAACTCCGTCCAGCAGATGCTTAGGTCAAACAAGCCTAGTAATTCCTCAAACCGTCGTTCTAGATCCCCTCAACGGCAAAACGCACGTGGACGATCTAAGTCCAACACACGTTCTGTCAAAAATCCTGACTGGTGTTGGTATCACAACACCTATGGCAAGGAAGCGAAATGTTGTCGAAAACCTTGTGATTTCGGCAAAGCCTCCAAGTCTGTGGGAAACTATCCCGCCGGCACGCGTTAGCGGCAACCGTTGCCGGTGGCACTAGCCGCTTACTTTACATCCATGATGTAATTAGCCAGACTAGATATCTAGTCGACACAGGCGCCGAAGTCAGCGTCCTTCCTGCTACAGCAGCAGATCGACAGAAGGATCCTAACTTCAACCTACAGGCTGCAAATGGAAAACCAATTGCAACCTATGGTCGGAAATACGTCTATCTGAACGTAGGTTTACGCAAACCTATTCAGTGGATTTTCCTAATCGCTGACGTCACAATGCCCATCATCGGCACGGACCTACTTAATCATCATGATTTGCTCGTAGACGTCCGCCGTAAACGACTAATTGACAACACTACTAGTTTGTCTATCAAAGGCATAACTTACGTAGGCCCAAGCTTGTCAATCGTTAAGATGAAAGCAATCCCCGATCCAACTTTTCAACCGATTTTTGACAAATATCCGGAACTGAATTGCCCATCTAACGATCTCCCGTGTATAACCAGCAATGTTATGCACCATATCATAACCTCAGGACAGCCCGTGACATCTAAAGCACGACGACTGGCCCCTGACAAACTGAGAATTGCCAGAAACGAATTCGATCATATGCTCACCCTTGGCATCATTCGGCCATCGAATAGTCCATGGGCATCCCCGTTGCATATGGTACCGAAAAAGGATAGCAACGATTGGCGACCCACTGGTGATTACCGGCGAGTGAACGCCAAAACAACTCCTGATTGCTACCCTTTGCCTCACATACACGACTTGACGGCAACGTTATCTGGAGCATCTATATTCTCCAAAATCGACTTGGTTAAAGCATATAACCAAATCCCGATGGCAACGGAAGATATCCCGAAAACGGCTATCATTACGCCTTTCGGACTCTTCGAATTTCTACGTATGCCATTCGGCCTCCGGAATGCGGCCCAAACATTCCAACGCTTCATCAACGAAGTATTTCGCGGTCTCGACTTTGTATACGCATACTTAGACGACTGCCTCATTGCCAGTCCAGATAAGGAAACTCACCTTGGACACTTGGACTTGGCATTTGAAAGGTTACGCCAACATGGTGTTACCATCAATATACAGAAGTGTCAGATAGGCGTTGACTCACTCGATTTTCTGGGTCACACTATTGACTGTCAGGGCATACGCCCACTGGCTACTAAAGTCGAAGCAATACTGAACTTTCCGGAGCCAAAGACAGTAAAATGCCTTCGCACTTTTAACGGCTTGGTAAGTTATTACCGACGTTCCATTCCTAATTGTGCTTCTCTAATTCAGCCATTAACCGATCTCCTTCGAGGGAACAACAAGGCTATCGAACTCGACACGTCTGCTCGACATGCTTTTACTCAGGTAAAGAAAGCTATTGCAGATGCCACCCTTCTTATGTATCAGGATCCAACGGCACCGTTGAGTATCTCGGTTGATGCATCAGACACTACAATCGGCGCAGTTCTGCAACAGCTAGTTAACAACGAGTGGCAACCACTCGCCTTTTTCTCGAGGCGCCTTCAAGTAGCTGAAACGAAGTACAGCACATTCGGAAGGGAACTTCTAGCTATGTACTGTGCTATACGTCATTTTCGACATTCAGTTGAGGGTCGTTAATTCATCATTTTCACTGACCACAAACCTCTGACGTACTCTCTGAACTCAACTTCAGATAAGTATTCACCCAGGGAATCGCGACAACTAGATTACGTTTCACAGTTTTCATCAGATATTCGCCATGTTTCCGGAGTGAACAACACTGTGGCAGATGCCTTGTCACGTATTTGTTCTTTCACCCAAATCGACGGCATAGACCTTGTAAAACTGGCTCGTCTTCAAAAAGAAGATATTGAGCTTCAGCGTGAGTTGTCGAAAACAACTCTACAACTAGCCAAGAAACCCTTAGGTATAGGAAAGGATACTATTCTGTGTGACATTTCCACTAGTACTCCTCGCCCCATCGTGCCTAAAAGTTATCGCCGTAACGTCTTCAATACGTTGCATGGCTTATCCCATCCAGGTATTCGAACTACTGTCAAGCTCGTAACTAGTCGGTTTTGTTGGCCTGGTATTAACAAAGAAGTAAGGGAATGGGCACAGACGTGTTTAGCTTGCCAAAAGTGCAAGGTAATACGACACACTAAAAGCCCCCTTGGCACTTTTCTTATCCCTGATGCCCGTTTCGAACACGTCCATATAGATTTAGTTGGCCCCCTTCCAGAATCTCATGGATACACCTATATGTTAACCTGCATCGATCGCTTCACACGATGGCCTGAAGCAGTACCCATCAAGGATATATCTGCTGAAACTGTCGCACGCGTCTTTGTAGAGAGATGGATCGCAAACTTTGGATGCCCATCTTCCATAACAACTGATCGTGGGCGGCAATTCGAAAGCGGTTTATTCTTCGCTTTGACTAAAATCCTTGGTTGCATGCGTTTTCGAACGACAGCCTACCATCCTCAAGCGAATGGTATGGTAGAACGTCTACACAGACAGTTGAAAGCTGGTTTATCAGCTGCAAATAACACCCACTGGACTGAATCCCTTCCGTTAGTTCTCCTAGGGATACGAAACGCCTTAAAAACCGATGCTGGTTGTACTACCTCTGAGCTAGTATATGGCACAACACTACGACTGCCAGGTGAGTTTGTTTCTCCCTCGAGCTTCCCACCAGTGGTAGATCACTCCTCATACGTCAGCAGGCTTACAAACGCTATGCGTTCAGTTAAACCTGCTCCCCTCCGACCACAGTCCATTGATGTTTTCGTTCACCCTTGTTTAAAAACTTCTTCACACGTATTTGTTCGTCGCGACTCGGTACGTCGTCCTCTAGAACCCCCATATGACGGACCATATAAAGTGATTAAACGTACTGATAAATTCTTCGTTTTAGACAAAAAAGGCCGCGAAGACACCGTCAGTATCGACCGTCTGAAACCAGCTTACTTGGAAGGTAATCCCATTAGCCTGGAGCTAAACGTACCCGATAATTCACAAGTAATTGAATCTACTTCAGTCTTTGAAGAACTCCCTAGCACGGCGAAAGCCACCGAACCTTCGGTCGATCACTCTAAAAAAACGCGTTCTGGACGTCACGTTAGATTCCCAGAATACCTTCATACCTATTTCACATAACTGAGTGACACATCAATTGTTTTTTATGTTGCGTCATTTAACACAAGTAAATGATGTTTTTCCTATAACCGTACATAAAATTAAATTAGATGTATATTTTTTTCCCGATATATTGAACTTTAAATTATTTT